TTTCTCCTGCCTTTGCTGCTGGAGAGACCAGAAGTCGAGGATGTGGATTAAGACCCCTTTGAGAGCTCAAATTTATGTTCTCGGAGTCTTCATCAGCCTGCCAAAACTCAAGAATATGATTCCTTATATGTGATGATTTTCCAGAAAGCTGGTGGGAGAGTCTGTGCCCCGTGGGCCACAGCAGAAGGGAAGGGCCAACACATCTTCAGGCTCTGCAGCCGGTCCTAGCATGGCTCGAGCAAGAGCCATGCTGTACACACCAGCTTTCTGCAGCTGTGCCCCCCAGCTCCCACGGCATGTTGCAGGAGTCGTGCAAGGATGCAGGGATAGCCTGGGGTGAATTTGGGTCAGGGACACAGAACTGAGCTGACTGGGTGTGGGAAAAGCTTCTCGGACCTGGCTGCGGTGGTGGTGACAAAGCAAATGCACAGAGAGCTGAAATTAGGGGCGGGGAGGGTGTCTCTGTTTAAAGCCCAGGGTGTTTTATAAGCAAGAGGTCTGCTGTGGCTCATGGGAGGAGGCTCCATGTGATGGAAACATCCCACGGTTGGACTCAGTGACCCCGGGGATGAGGAGAAGTGGCTGCTTCCCGTTGCAGGAGGGCAGGGGATGGGCTGGAGCCCACGTCCGTCTGGCTCCAAGCGGGTGCTGAACAGGCACCGAGTGCTGACTTGGCCCCGTGCCCACATCTGCCAATAAAAATTAAGAAATTGATTTCCTTTTGTTTGCCTGACAGGACGAGGTTCTCTTTATGAGACAGTAAATGCAATCTTCCTCTGAGCATGGCTAGATTTTTTAATTGTATTTGTTGTGCTTTCGCTTATTGTTTTATGAGTTTCAGTTCCCTTCGTTGCTGGTGCAGAGATCAGCCCTAGGGGATGGTTTGATTTCAGCTCCAGCTAAAGGTTGGAATTTTTTTAAACATTTCTTTTGTTTTTTGTTTTCCTGATATGCTTAAGTTTGGGGTTAGTTTTCTATCTGTGTTAAAAATAATCCTATATGTGCCTATGTATAGCTCTGAGTAGTAAAGCTAGGCACAGAGATCCTGTTTGGAATTATCTACTTGCCAGTCAGTGATATCGCCCTTTGAAGAACAGCATTTAAGATTAAGATCAGGGAAATGTAGAAGTGTCAACAATGGTTTGAAGTCAGAGGAGGAGGGGATTTTATATATAATATATATTGGAGTTTAATGAGATCTGCTTCAGTGCTTACTATACAATGCATGGTGACCCACTTTACTAGCAGAGTGGGGTTTTGTTCCTAGTTATGGGTCATATACAGTTCTTAATTAAGTAGGTTAATTATATGGCTCCTTTATATTACACAGGCAAACGTGGATGACACAATTAGCTTTTGCAGTTAACCTTTTTTATCAAAAAATGATGCTCTTAGCAACAGCTCCCGGAGGCGTGGATGGTGAGAGAGAGATTGCCCTGTAGCCCTGAGCACTTGCCTCATCGTTCTCTCCTTCAGCAAATTCTCTTTCTGTCCTGAGCACATGGCCTGGGATGTGGATGGAGTTGTCCTTTCTGCAAATACTATGGAGAGAGCATGGTCCCATCCTGGTCCAAGTGCTGCACCCACGGTTCCTCGGATGCTGCCCTAACCTGTCCTGCAGGGCTGGCCTGGTCCCTGCTTGGAGTTTCTTTGGAGGCATCAAAAAGGGAGAAGAGCACTCCTTGCTGAGGGCTCTGTGGTTGCAGAGGAAAAGTGCTGCAGCTGGGGAAGGCTCTGAGCAGCATCAGGCCCTGTAGCGAAACTGTCCTTGAAAGAAGTTTCTTTAACTTTCCCCTTCCCAGCCCGGCAGTGGCTGAGCCCCTGCGGCATCCCTGGGTTATCTGTTCCAGCGTGCGGCCATCCGTGCTGCTAGGAGTAAGGGAAAACATTCAAACCCTAATCTCCCTCAGTGCAATTTAAACCTATTATTTCTTCTTTTATCCCCAGTGGACATGGAGAACAGCTATTATATTTCTCTTTGCCGCAACCTCTTACATATTTGAAGGCTGTTATCACATGTCCTCTCAGTCTTCTCCTCTCAGCACAAAGCATAATTCTTTCAGTTTTCCCTTGGAGGTCATGTTTTTTTACACCTTTTGAATATTTTTGGTGCTTTGGAGAGGCCACTGGGATAGCAAGCTGGAGTTTTTGTTGTTTCTTCACTTGTCTGCCTTGAAGCATTCATTATGTTATTGATGTGTATGAAGTGACCATTATCTTCGCCAATCTGTGGTTATTTGTAAAGTACCCTGTATTCCTATGTTTTCTCAGAAAGTATGGCTCTTAGCCTTGATAAATAATTTACTATTATGATATGATCATGCAAGCAGGGGCTTCCTAAACTATTTATTATTATTTGTTTTATTTTTTCTGAAGTAACATGTTATCTATGTAACAGTGTGAATGATCCAGGTGATTCACAGACATGGACTGAAAGGTATATCTCATTTCGTACTGCTTCCAGAGAAACAAGGAAGTGAAGGAAAACACCAAGCCAAACTAGTTTAGCCACGGGGAAGAGTGCTGAATAGAAAATTATAGGAAATACACTCAGAGGCAGTAACCTGTCTCTAGATTATTGCAAAGAATATATTTTCTGTGGTGTATTATCCCTGTAGCAGTTCTTGGGCTCTCCTACATTTGCAGAGCTGAGAATGAGGTTGAGACAGTGGTGAAACATCAGGGTTTGGCTCTGAGGCTTTTGAGGGTTGGTAGATCTTGTAAATGTCTATACTTGGCAGCTTCGACTTGAGCTGGATGACTGAGAAGCTGAGTCCATTCACAGGACCCTCCATTTGCTAGAGAATGGGAGTGCAACTGTGGGTCATCTGAGACATGCTTACCTCCCCCTAGATCTTGGACAGTTTGGGGGTGTGAAACTAGCGATAACGCAGAAATTCCTCCAAAGAGGCAAGTTGCAGGAAAAAAAAACACCACAAAACTAACCTGTAGATGTAAAGAAGGTCAGATTCTGGATCTGTTTATGGCAAGGAAATTGCCATCAGAACATTGCGTAATAGATGCAGACTGTGCTTAGTTTGACAAGTACCTGACCTCCTTGATCATGCCCTGCTCTTCTAGATGTGGCCATGTTCTTTTAAGCTTCTTGGGCCAGAGGGACACCGCTGTGATCTGTGTTCCCTAAAAACAAGGAGCTGCTGTGCAAGCAGTGCTGGCGGGGCTGTGTTTGCCCCTAAGAACTTCATCCCCAGCAGGTGTACATCCCATCATTGGTTATGAAATCAACTATCTCCCTCCAATATAGTAGATGTCCTCTTTGCTCCTTTGTCACAAAGGTGTGATATCTGCTCTCAAAGCAGAGGACAATGAAAACTTCCTTCACTAGAGAGGCCTTTCACATCCCACTGCCTGATTAGGTGCCTTCCTTTGAGGCAACATCTTGGCTGCTTAGTGAGAGCAATAAGTCCTCAATAGCCTCTGCCACTGCTTCACTGCAAGGGAGATCTTTATGGTGTCCTCTCAAATTATATATACCAGCTGATATTTTTATCACCTGTTTTGTGAACTTGGCCTTGAAATGCAGAGATGTCCCCGCTGACCAGTGGTACAGCCAGAGGAATGTGCACACCATGCAAAACCCAACCCTGCTGGTTTGCATGCAAAGAATTGACATCGCAAAAGAACAAAAGTCATTCAAACCCAAATTGCCTGTTCTCTTTTTGTGTTTGGAGAAGTAGAGAGTCCATAGTCCCAACAGAGGCATCTTGCGGCAAGAGCTGAATTTTGCTTTTGCCTCTCAAAAACTGGAAGTCACGTGGGCCTGGGGAGTAACGTGAAAAAGGAAAGCCAGAACCTGCCAGAAGGAATTCACGTAAAGGCAGAGACTTTTTTTTTTTTCTTGCGACTAAAGCACCTATCACGGCTGCCAGGACTCTGCTAATTACACAATAACTTTATTATATCCCGCTTGGAAGAACAAACAATACTTGAAGCTCCAAAACCGAGCAGCCTTTAGATTAGATTAATGCAGGCAGGATGACTGCATGGAGCCAGTGTTCACCCTGTCCTCCCAGAAGCTCCAGAGAGTAAAATGGCTTGAAGACTCCCTTCTTTGTTGCTAGTGCTACATAATAAAGTAATTGTGCAATTAGAAGTAGATTATTGATGAGAGAGAGGCATTTTCTATGTGATGTAGGTAAAAGAGAGAGACTTTTCTGAATAATTTTGAAGCCTCAATGTAGCATCTCGGCTCATTTTTGCTTGAGTGAAAATTCTGGTAGCCTCTTGTAGCATGCAGACAGGTGAAAAGGACCATCTCTAGTTGAGCATGGCTTTTTATCCCATGTGGATATATAAGGATGACTACTTTGCCTTGTTTCCTTGCCTGTCAGCTGATGTTGTGAGCTTTTCAGGATCAGGAGTGTGAGGGGGAGATGTTGACATTTGTGGTGGTGCTGGCAGGATGCAGCATGAGCTAAGCGAGATCTACTCCAGTGTGTTATTGGTCCCTGCGGGTATCAGCCTGACCGAAGGTCTCCATGTGTGTGCCCAAATAAGACTAGAGGAGGGAAGACAAGATTGGTGACAAACTGGACAAGAGAAATGGTGTGGATATGGATTTGAGGTGAAATAAATCTCTGAGGTGATGTTTCTTTAGTCCAAGCTTGGTTATGTGTTCTGCCAAGCTCATGATGCCAGGGTATGCAGGCACCACAGTGACTGCTCTGTCTTGTGACAGCACTAGGAGAGGACTTTGTGCAGCAGTCACCTCTGCCATGGTGTTACCTGTAGCTACTTCAACCCCTGCAGGATTGTCAGCCTGGTACCCCAAAACCAGCAAAGAAAACTTTATATGTCTTCCCTGCCCTGTGAGCTTGCCTGGGGATGGGCCAACTGCCAGAGGTGGTAGAACAAGGATCCTGTCCAGGGGCTGGTGGTGGTCCACCACTGACCTGCATTGATCCATACACACATCCTCAGCAGGTCTGGCAGGTCCCTTTTCCCCTGTTGTACCTGATGGTTGTGCTTGGTGTTTGCAGGTCCCGTGGCAGTGATCAGCGGAGAGGAGGATTCTGCCAGTCCCCTCCACCATATCAACCACGGCATCACGACACCCTCGTCCTTGGACGCTGGCCCGGACACGGTGGTGATCGGCATGACCCGCATCCCCGTCATCGAGAACCCTCAGTACTTCCGACAAGGTCACAACTGCCACAAGCCAGACACGTGTGAGTGCCCAATATGGCTGGACCCCCCTGCAAGGACCAGGGGATAGGTTGGGGGGATAGGGGAAAGAGGGTGAGGATGAAGAGGTTAAGAGGGTAAGGAAGAAGAGAAGGAGTTTTTTTGAGGAGATTGGGTCTTGGTGTATGGTCCAGAAACCAAAGTGAATCTCAAGTCTCAGAAATCACAACATACATGTAGGTGCTTCCAGAGAAGACTTTCCACCCTCACCTTCACCTCCCTTCACCCTCCCCCTCGCCACCCACCAGTCACCTTGCCCCCTTGCCTGAAAGTTCCATTTGAAGTTTGCCTCGTTGGCTCCGAGTGTGGGGTTCCAGGTGTGAACAAGAGTTGCCTGGTAGCATGGGAATGGACATGGTCCCTGTCTAGCCAGGGAAAGGGCCTGCCTCCCCTTCCTCCTCCAGCAGTTTCCCAGCCATGGGGCTGCCTCCTTGGCTCCCCAGTGGGCCAGGGAGAAGCTCAGGATGTGTGGCCATAGGTCGGGCAGAGGCTTAAAGATAAAGACCAGGAGGCTTAGATGCTGGATGTCATGTTTTGTGGACTTCTGTGAAGCTTTTGCATCCTCCCTGTATAAATCTATGTTGTGAACTGATCTCATTAGACTAGCAGGTGGTGATCAAGTGGCCCTCTCTGGTTTGTGTTCCTAAATTCTGGGTATAAAAGAAAAGCGCTGGGTAAAAAGACGCTTTTCTGGGAGTCCCGCACTGCTTCCCATGCGAGCGGGGAGATGCAATTTCCCCGACATGTGGCTTGCAGCTAGTAGTTGAGTTTTCCCAGACCTCTTACCAGTTCTGAGGTGCAAGCTGAGCAATGCAGGAGGTTCAGATAATGTTCCTCTGCTGCTATTGCTCAACGTTTTGATGTGTCGCAGGCTATCTCCATTGCCCAACCAGAAGCAGGGAGTGCTACACTGGTTACCTCTGCTCTCCCCTTTGGCTGCTGCTGACTCAGGAGCGCAGGAGACACAGCTCAGCCCCTGGAACAAGGGAGGAGGCTGATCTCCCGAGCTCTGGAACCTCACTCAGCATTAAGTGCTCGACCGGAGCATGCTGCTCCCTGGCCACTGTTCCTCCCATTGGAAGATGGGGAACTGCAGCTCCTGGTCCTGTGGAGGTGTCCCTGGGGCAGTCCCCACTGTGCAACCTCCTGGGTGCTGCGAGGCCGCGTCCGAGCCGTTATCTCCGTGCTTTGCTTGCTGGAGTGATGAGGTGTACCCAATGAATGCGCCCGGCTTTCCCTTTGATTTTCATTTTAATGTGCTAAATTTGATCTGTTTATAGAGAAGGGAGGAGGAGGGCAATGATTAAGCAGGAGCGGAGAAGCTGAATGTAGTGTGGATTTTTTTCTGTGCTGTTAATTATATATTTTACATTTCTTATAGCACCTCATCTCAAAATGATTTACAAACTGATGGCTTGGGAGGGGGGGCTCCCCCACTTTGTTTTTTCTCTTCCCCTCCCATGATCTCTCAAATCTAATCTATGCGCCGACTATTTCAGGACATGGGTGCTGTTGCAGCTGTGCAATAGCAGAGCTTAAACCTCAAAGGATTAAGTTTTGCTCTGACCGTTTGCCCTCTGGGGCTTGTCCGAGCTGGGTGGGTTGCAGAGGAAGGCGCTTCCAGCAGGATTTGGCCTCAGAGTTCCATGGAGCTGTTTGATTAGAATCTGAAGAGTTCAGAGAGATGCTCGGGGGTGGCATCTGGAGTCACTTCTCCCATGGAAGGTGCCGTAAGGGGAAATGCAGCACTAGTGACAATTGTGTAAACTTGGAAATCTATGGTAAATCACCACCTTCAAGCTCCAGGTTCCCCAGGCCTGTGAGGCAGTGAGGGCAAAACCAAATCCATGTCACAGACACTCCCTGTTAGAACCTTTGGGTGCTAACAAAAGGCAAAACACACCTGGGTGCTGGCAGGCTGAAAGCACTTAGTTTTTAGATTTGCTTGTCGTTCATGAGGCAAAATCCAGGCTTTGAGACCTCAGGCAGGGTTGGATTTGGTGTGTGTATTGTATTTTAGTCCCCAGGACTTTACTTGGGTAAAACTTCTGACTTCACTGGTGGCTTTGCTTGAGGCTGGAAAGTTCCATGATTCACCTTTTAAATTAACCATGCTTTCGGGAGCTTTTGCTGTAAGGGGTTTGTTTGATCTGATCTGCTCTGCTCAGCTTAAACCTGAGGTGGAAAATATTTGTTGCTTCCGTTCTCCCTGTGGTTTTCACACCGGAGGGTTTTTCGTTCTCCCTGCGCAGAGCTTGGACGCCAGCACCTCTTCATTTGCTGTTGCTTGTAGAGGGAACTCCTCTGGGCTGAGGAGAGTGCCTCGATGAGCTGCTGAGCCTGCCCTGGTGCAAGCTGTCATCTCTCTCCTGCCACCCCCCTCCCACAGAGCTACTGCCCAGCTGTGAGCCTGGGTGCTCCATGGCACCCAGCATCTCACCTTTGCACTGAGGTGTTGCTCTAGCAATATTTTCAGCGAGCGATTTCTCTATCCATCATAAAGCTTTTCTCTTTCCTTCTTTCCTCCTGCAAGCATCCCTGTGCTCTTGGATGTTGTCTGGGCTGAGGACATGCCGATACCCATTACCACGCTGCAATGAGGAGAGCAAACTCTATATGCTTAATGCAGTATTAATAGTACATTGATGTGATATAGATTTCTGTCACCCTCTATACTAGCAAACATCGCTTATCACGCAGGGATGACGGATGTTTATTCCCAGCCACTTAGCTCTGCATAATGGAATTGCAACTGAAATATGGAGAGCAGCTCCCTGCCCGCGGAGCTGCAGCCCCTCGCTCCCGCTGTGCGATGCTGACCTGGGGGCTCTTCTGGTTAACGTGTCCTCAAGGAGATAGAGACGTGTTCCTCACTGGGGATGTGCTGTCCTTGCATCAGTGGGATGAAGGGCGCAGGAGCCAACTCTCACCTCTGACTTTCTGGGATTTTTGCCGTTGTCTTCTTACCCCCATTGTGCTGCTGCCTGACTTAGAGGAGCAGGAGGGACAAGCTTG